AAAAAAAAAAAAAAAAAAAAAAAAAAAAAAAAAATGCAAACATAGCCCTCGTCTGAGTGGGAACAATTCACTAGCCAGGAACCAGGTTCCATGTGTGTGATAGGTTTTGTGTTTCTGAGTGAGATGACATGTCTCATCTCCACAACGTGCCTGCCTACGTCAAGGAGAATTTGGAACACGCAAGGGCTTTGCATGAGGGTGTTGGGCAGAGGCGGTGGTGCCTCAAGTGTAACCCTGGCTCCTCCAGTGTGGACCATGTGCCTGGCTGAGTTAGCCCTGATAGTGACTTTCCTTTGCCCAATTGGCTACTGTTCCTCTGTCAGGGGGAGAGTGTGAATGTATAGGCATTGGGCAGAGATGTTTGCATGTGTGTGCTCATGGGTACATGGACTATATACACGTGTGTTTGTGCACGTTTGTGCATTTGTTATTTCATGGGCTATCAGGTGGGCAAGAGGCACTTCCTTCTCTCTGTGACACCCAGGCAGTGCACATACAGAGCAAACAAAGGGAATCCTCTGCTTGGGTCCAGAGTGCGTCAGAGCAGAAGCAGGCTCCTCGCAGCGTTACTCCAACATCACATCCTTTGCTTGCCCAAGATGCTGTTTCTTCTGCCCTCACTCTTCTGGAATCTGCTTTTTCTTCATCCCAGATTAGGTCGATCTCCTCCACAAAGCCATTCCTGATCTCTTTTGTCCCCTCTTCTGTTGGTTACAGTACTGTTATTTCTTTTCTGTGTTGCTTTCTCTCCCCGGCAGTGTGGCAGCTCCCTGAAGGCAGGCTCCTTCAGATGTCTCATTAGCTCTTCTCCCCTCTCCTCCCTGAGGAGGGTGCTAAGCCAGCTGGCACACTTTTAGATTCTCTGGTGGACTCCCAAGCTCCCTACTGAGCTGAACTTTCCACAGGTCTTTTACAGGTCTGATGACTTTTTTTTTTGTTTTGTTTTGGTTTTTTTCCGGTATGGGAATTGAACTCACGACCTTGCGCTTGCCAGGCAGGTGCTGTGCGCGAGCTAAACCCCCAGCCCCTGTCTGATGACTTTTAAAGTTGGCTCCTCTAGGCTGAAGATATACTTAGTAATTAAAGCCTTTTTAAATATTGTTCAAAGAACAAACTGATCTCCCTTCTTTTTTTTTTTTTTTTTTCTTTTTTTGTTAAACCTCCAATAAAGAGAAGACATCAGCCCAACAGTTCACTCCTGTGCTTAACAGAAGTCCCTACCTGGAATTTGCTTGTTTAAGTGTCTGATCTTTTCATGAACTTGCCAACATCTACAGACTCACACTTTAAGAAACATAGACCAGGTACAAAACATTGAAGGAGGGAGCGCTGCCAATCTGTAACTAAAATCTAGGACGCTGTTTTCTAGCAGTCCTATAAAACCCAAGGGACAAGGAGCTGTTAAATAGTTTTAGAAATGCAGTAAATGCCATGATTTTGTAGACAAAATGAGAGAGGTTAAACACTTGGTGTGAGTGGGATGGATAACCCATCTCAGTAATTCTGCTTAGAACAATTGCTCGACATTCTGCTTTCTTCCTTTCTTTGCACACTCAGAACAACTGCGTACTTAGAACAATTGCTAAACATTCTGCTTTTTTTCTTTTGGCTTCAGCCATTCTGTATGTTCTTACCACTTCAATATAATAACTTCCAACTAGCTAAAACTTCTAGCTAAATAATTAACCTTAGCTAAAAGCTTTTTGTACTTCGCTTTCTAGAAAAAGCTCCCACCAGCTAGGAGAAATCAAAACAAGCACCCCTTTTCGTAAACGTCAAAAAGAGACCTCCGGACTGTGTTCAGTCTTATTATATATCCAGCCTAGTTTCCAACGCATTAAGAATGTACAAATAAATCATTTAGAAAAGAAAGATAAAGTAATACTTGAAATGGTATTTTAATCCATTTGTGGTTACCTAGGTGGGAAGGCACATAATTCAGAGACTACAAGTCTCTCCATGTTCTGTTGGTTCCTTGAAGCAAGAATGTTTAGATTAAAAAATGAGCTCAAACTTGCTGCTCTGCCCGTTAACGGACTCTAAGGAGAAGCACACATTTCTGTAACCGTTTTTCTGGGTTAGGTCATTATGGTGCTACGAACAACTAATGTCACACATATATATTTTTAAAGGTTGGCACTGAATTGCCTACATGTTTATCATTTATATGTTTGCCATTTGTACTCATGAATAAAATGAAACAAAACAAACGTAGGCACCAGTTTTTGTACTGACTCACATGAGCGCATGGAGTCCAGGAAGATCGCAGACTTGATGTACACCGTTTCCACACCCAGCATCTTCCTACAGCTGCCCTGCGCCATGGACATCCATCCTCAGCAGGACGGTGACAGGGCGCTGCAGAATCCTGAATCATCAGGAGCTGATGCTGTTCATGCTGGTTGGCTTCCTGGATGTGGGGAGTGGACGAGGGCATCTTGGGAAGATCTTCAACACTAAGATCGCACATGCAAAATGGTTTCTCCTCAGCCTTTGTTAGTACGCAAATGAAATTAATCAGAACCAGTCATTCCCTAAACATACTGGTTTGTTGAATGTGATGATATTATCCTTAAGGGTTAAAGCTGAGAGGCTTTATGTAAAAGTATATTCATTGAATCCCTTTTAGAACCATAAGTGATAGAAGTCAAGTACTTAGATGGACCACTAGGGAGTTTTTTGGGACAAAACTTTCATCACTCTCACTTTGGTGCTTAATTTGTTTCTTCAACAGGCTTTACTGAGAACCAAGTGCTATTCTAAGGATGGGGGATGTAGTTGTGGACAAGCAGATGAGAATCCCTGTCCTCGTGTTGCTTATGTATAGGGAGGACTTGCAGCTAATACATAGATGAATAGGCTCCGTGCTGTGCCAGATGGTGTCTTCCAATCGCGCTCAGCAGAACAGGAAAGGGAGCTGTGCAGAGGTCAGGGAAGGTGATAACAGATGAGGACAAACCCAAAAGCAGTGATTGAGTGAGCCAGGGGGCTATCGGGGAAGAGTGTTCCAGACAGGACTAGTACAGAGGCCGGAGGTCCCTGAGGACCTGCAAGGAGGCCAGGGTGGCTGATCTGAGTGGTGGAAGAGGTGGTCTCATAGGAGAACAGGGATGGAGGCATCTGGACAGCAGAGGGTCTTGCGTGTCATCAAAGGGACTTCAGCTTTTATTCCAAGAGAAGAAGGAAGCCAACTAAGGTATGACGGATGTGTATAAAGAGCTCGATAAATGCTTGTTTGGAAAAACAAACAACAAAAAGCTGATATTGTCATCCCACATCTACAGTGTCATCGTGGTATAACTGATCTCATGTCTTCCTTTCAGTATTGATGATCTGAGCCAGGAATTGAATCACGTTTTGATGAGGAGATTGAAAACACTGCTCAAGCCATTAGCTGTAAAGGGACTTCAGAGTGACCCAGCATGAAGATAATAACCACATTAAGATGTGACTTTTTGTTTCCAGGTCTTTGGCCAATAACCACATTAAAGCACTACCAAGGGACGTCTTTAGTGATTTAGACTCTCTGATTGAACTGTAAGTAATGAAATTAGGTTTGTGTATATTTGTCACAGGGCCCCGGTTAATCATATCTGTCAATCGTTTCTGGTGGTTTCCTGCATTTCTTTTATGCTGTAGCTAAACATCAATAACCAAGTAGTGCATACTGGGAAACGGCATGTAGTAGGTGTTGTGTTGGATTTTGCCATTTGGTGATACACTTAGTACCATGAAATCAGTGGTTAATTAGGCTTGCTGGGTCAGAGCCACCATGCTCTGAAATATTGTCTGCTTTATAGTCCAGTTTTCATCACTTCTTACTGGACATAGTTCAATAAGATCTTAAAAGTGTCAGCCGTGTTTGAGAAAATTGTCCTATAGTGTCCTGTTTTTGTTTATGATCTATATTTATATATATATATTTTTGGTACTGGGAATCCAACTCAGGACTTTGTGCTTGCCAGGCAGGCACATATGCCATTGAGCTATATCCCCAGCCTTTGTGTTTATGAGACCCTCCATTTGGAAGTGTTCTTGTCTCACCCCTCCTCCATTTCTACCATGGCATGGGGACAACTTCAAGAGGGCTTGGAGAGGGGGTGGTGTATTATCTCTGAGAGCTCTCTATGCTAAGGCAGTTAAAACACAGGTGCATTAAATCCAGACAGTGCTAACTATAAAAAATAGGATGCATGAAATATAGTTCTTTAAATTCCTCTTTTAGGGAATTTTAACTATTTCAAGATTTTAATTTTGGTGTTTCAAGTCAATGCCAAAAGCAAATCAGGTGTGTCAGTTTCTCTGTGCACATATTTGTGTTTTGTTTTAGAGATTTAAGGGGGAATAAATTCGAATGTGACTGCAAAGCCAAGTGGTTGTATTTGTGGTTGAAGATGACCAATTCTACGGTGTCCGATGTGCTGTGCATTAGCCCCCCCGAATATCAGGAGAAGAAGCTTAACGACGTGACCAGCTTTGACTATGAATGTACAACTACAGGTATTCCAAAGCCATGTTGTTAAGTAAGCATGGGCAGGGGAGGCCCTCTGTTTAGCTCGTAGATTGTTAGAAGAGTGTGGCGGGACAGTGAGTGTAGAAGTTTTCTACTCCAAGACTATTTTAGAGACAGTCTAAGCATTCTAAAAGAAATGAATGACATGGTTAGCAGACTATCTCAACAGTTTCACTGGGCGTGGTGGCACATACCTATAATCTCAGCACTCAGGAGGCTGAGGCAGAAGGATCATTTGAAAGTCTGAGACCAGCCTGGGCTACAAAGTGAGCTCGAGCCCAGCCTGAACTGCACGGTGAGACCCTGTCTCAGAAAGACAAAAAAATAAATAAATGAATATCTCAACAGTTTGGAAGGATTTTTAATTTCACTGACTTTGATTTTGATTCCTTACAAAATTCAAATTTCTATAAGTTTTTTTTTTTCAAGGTCAAAATATAAGCTTGTGAGTTTAACATGAGAACATCTTTAAATCAATCTGGGTTGCGTGGAAAGTCAGCACAGAGAGGCCTGAAGGATTTTGTTGTCACTGTTTTCTTGATTTAATAAGAGGATGTTCATTGGAAATTTTATGCCAGACTTTAAAAATCTATAAATTGCTTTCACAGACCTAAGAAGAGAGGATAGATAAGTTATAACCAAAGACAAAGTGGAAAAATAAAAGTTGGCAATCGGTTATCAAAAGAGAAAAAAAACTGATGTTGAGGGAAAAAATATAAGGATGCTTGATTTTGTTCTTCTAACATCCGACTCAGGGTTTCGGTGTATGTACATTCAGGTTATAGAATAAAATTAAAATACCAACCACCTTAACTGTCAGTGCATGCAGAGGGCAGGTGAGTATCTCCATATGAAAGCTCGGGTGAAGCTTCACCAGCTTCTGAAGCCAGGTTATAAAGGAGAGAGGATCAGTCCGCAAGATGAAACCTGCTTTCTAGCTGTTCATGAACACAAACATTTAGGCTGCGCGTTGATATCTACATAGCCTCGAGGCGTGTCAGAAGAAGCAGCAGGGACGGGAAATCAGAGAAGAGTTACAGAAACTCCAAAGACGTAAAAATTCCAGGAACAAAATAGCATATTTAGGCCGGATCCTGCTGCCACCTTCCAAACAAATACACAGAATCCCACAAACTGACGGTGATTTTTAGATGTCTGTGTTTGCCAGGAAAGGACCGCACACATTCTGTTCTTTTATAGGAAACCTGAAATCTCACGAAGCGCCCTTGTCTTTCATCGTCGAATAGGGGCTTATTCGGCTGTTTAACTGGCAGGTGCCCTTCGTCCAGCTGAGGCCACTAAGAAGTTATTTATTGTGTAGTAGGGAAAAACACAATAAATCAGAGGTTACAGTCAGTGGCACTGCACCAAAAGGTGGTATTTGAGACCATTTGGTGTTAAATGCTAACCCTGAGCTCTCTGAACTCTTCTTTGGCCCTTTCTCCATTCTTTCTGGAGAGTTCTGCAAGCCCCAGCAGACGTTATCCACCTCCATTGTCCTGTCCACACCTGGCAGTAGTGTGTGAAAACCTTGCCAGGCACCTACGGGACTGAGAACTGTTATCAGAAAGGAGATGGTTCGGAACCCAGGGAGCCACAGTCTGCAACCCAGAATCCGCGGAGCGGTGTGAGCCCCAGTGTGCGCTTGGTATTGTCTCTGCTGGCAAGTTGCCCCCTCAGGTTAGGAAAGTGAGCACCAGGCTTGCTGCTAAGAGAGAGGTGATGATGCTTTGCAATCGCTTTGCGACTCTTGCACACATTAGCACTTGCTCTAACCGTCAGAAGAACATGACGAAACAAAGCATGACCAGCCCCCAGGTATGGTTTCCGCTGTGTCAGAACGAGGTCTGTACCCGGAGTGTCTTGCGCTCCTGTCCTCTGCTCACATCAAGCCCTGGCCTCTGCTGCTTTTTCAGAAGCTGGCAAGGAAAGGAGTGAGATGGATGGAAGGTGGAAAGCCAGATTCAGGCGTTAGGGTCTGTTGATCATTCCTTGCGGGTTGAGAAGGAGCACATTCTCCCGGGGCACTGTTTTCCTCTTAGCTCAGCTTTTCACGAAAGGAGTAAATTTCTTCAGGTAGCTCTCGCCTTGTTCTGCCCAGAGAGTTAACATCCTTTTCCTTGGCAAAGGGAATAATTAATACCACGCGGCCACTGCCGGGCTACTTCTGCTCTTCAGATTAATCAGTTTCTCCCCCACAGCCTGTCTATTTTTAACCACTCAGAAATCCCTGTTACCTACCTATGATTCCCTCTGTTAGGTGGATAATTCACTAAATTCCTTAGAGGGAGTGAATTTTGCATCCTAATTGTCCTGTTAGCTTCCCTATTTCGAGGCTGATGAAAATGCAAAGAGAAATAATGCATTAATGTGCACTTTCTCTCCCCATAGGATCGGCATCATGTATAATTTATTTTCTGCCAGTGCTATAAATAGCTATGCAAAAATCTGTTGATTCCAGTGGGAGAAAGGCCTAAATTGTGAGACCCACTGACATCATGAACTTGATTCAGTGTGCATGGAAGTGGCAGCTCTGTTGGCAGGGAATGCCATAAATATTTTAACAGTAGTAAATTGATGTCATATCGGTATGTGTATTCTTTGAGCTCTTTCCACAATGAATGCGCTTTTGCAGTTTGGGAATGGCAAATTAAGATGAGGGAAGGAGAAATGTTGAAATTCCTGTTGTCCCTTTCTTGTTCAGGCGCAACGCATATGCAAACATCCACATCTTTTGGCCTTTTTCTTGTTTTCCTTCTCTTCCTCTTCTTTCTGTGGTGGGGCCCGGAAGGATTAGGAATTTGATGTCTTTCAAGCGATTTAACAGTCTGTGTTAATGACTGATAGTCGTTTTTTTGTTTTTTTGTTTTTTTTTTTTTTTTTTGGTTTTTTGGTTTTTCTCCGGTACCGGGAACCGAACTCACGACCTTGCGCTTGCCAGGCAGGCGCTTTTGCCGCTGAGCTAAATCCCCAGCCCCAATGACTGATAGTCAGTATATAGAAAATGTTATGAAACCACTGTTTTGGAAAGTAGGGCCTCTAAGAGGTAGATTTGGAAAATGCTGTCTATTCTGGCCTCTTTTTCATCTTGGGGTTCTTCAGCAAGAGCGGAAACTTTTGGGTCTGTGCTTTGAGCAGCCTGCCTGTTAAGGCAAACGCTCGCATTTCTGAGAACTCGGAGTGCAGTTGGGAGACTAATGGGACCGAGGAGACGCGTGAGTTACGGCCATCGGGGGAGTGGTGAGTGCCTTTGGCAGACTGGGATGAGATGAGTGTGACGGAGACGGAGAGGAAGAGTTTAGAGCCATCCCGGCTGTAATTAAAAGAGTGCAGCTGCGTCTCCGAGCCCTTCCTTACGGCCGGGAAAGGACCGCGTGCCCTATCGCCTCCTGCTCCTTCATCTGCTTGCGCCCACATGGGCTGCGTGTGGTTGACTCTGCCAGGGCCAGTGGCAGTGGACAGAGGGTCACTTTTTTCTGTTCTTAGGCTTTGACTGATGGACACTGTTACTTTTAGGGGCTGTGTCAAGGGGTCTGGCGGGGGGCCACTGGGACCCTCTGGAGGCAATTTGCAAGCAGTCTTTTTTTTTTTTTTTTGGTTTTTCTCCGGTACCGGCAACCAAACTCACGACCTTGCGCTTGCCAAGCAGGTGCTTTGCCACTGAGCTAAATCCCCAGCCCCTTGACGCAGTCTTTGTTGCATATATAGACCCATGGAGTCCAGAGGTCTCTGGAGCGGTGTCCAGAGGCCTGGCACTGTGCTCTAGGCCCGCTGTCCCCAGCCTTTTTGGCACCAGGAATTGGTTTCGTGGAAGACAGTTTTTCCAAGGATGGGGGAGTAGATAGTGTATCAAAGGAGTCTACAAGCTAGATCCCTCATGTGCACAGTTCATGCAGGGTTTGCACTCCCATGGGAATCCAGTGCTCTGCTGATCTGACAAGAGGAGGAGCTGAGGCGGTAATGCGAGCACGGGAATTGGCTGTGAACTCAGATGCAGCTTTGCTCACTCACCCTCCGCTCTCCCCCTTCTTGTCCAGCTTGGTTTTATTTTAACAGACTACAGACCAGTACCAGTCTGTGGCTGCGGCTGGAGACCCGTGCTGTAGTCAGACGCATGCCTATATTTAGTTTCCTCAGTACATAGTTGCTTCTCTGCCCTTACCTGTGAGGAGCCTGAGGCTCCATCTCTTGGGCCAGAGTCACACAGCTGACAGTGGCAGACTTACAACCTGAAGCCTAGTCTGCCTTAGCTCAGAGCCCCAGCTCTTGGCCACAATACTTGGTGCTCAGCTGGGGGGATGGTGGCCACCAGTCCAGTAGAGCCACTTGGCTCTCCACCTTCTGTCGGTCACCTACCTACCGGGCTGCAGAGGCAGCTTCCTCGGGGTTCCCAGGACACAGCCCACCTCCCCGTCCTCCCTACACCTGTGTGCAAACTTAGCGGCCTGCCCTCCCCTGGCAGTCTGCAGAGTAGACCTCGGTCAAGGTAGAACACCCCCTTTGTTAAACCAGACAGTGTTTATTAGGGACCCACTGTACAACCAGAATGGGGCATGGGCACCTCTTGAAGTTAAGGTGGATGGAGGTCCACTTTATGCTAGGCTAAAAGCTAGCATCTGTGTTCAGAGGAATCTAACATGCAGATGGGTAAGTCACTTGCCCAAGGTCATTCAGCAAGAAGGTGGCCGCTCAGCTTAGCATCTTGCCCTAGGTGCCATTAAAGTAGACACCTCTCCAGAAGATGGGCTAGGGCTGAAGGGGGGTTGCCCTTTCTTGGACCTCAATTCTATGTTTATTATGCTCAAACCTGAGGCAGGCACTTCTACCCCATGACTTGCTTGGTCCCGCCATCCTGCTCAGGAGGTCAGTATCCCGGTCTCCTCCTCTGAATATGGAAAGTGAGGCTGGGAGAAGGGGCAGGACCAGCCTGGGGTCTCCAGGTAGGGAACACCCTTTGGCCATCTGCCTTCAGGCCTGGTGCTCCGTCCCTAGCCTCTTGTGGCCATTGCTCTCTCAGCCTCCTCCTCCTCCTGCCCTCCTCACCCCTGCCTTGTGTGTTCCACTGCACCCCTGCCTGGCAGCTGTCACCTCCTTTCCTACCTCCATCCCTGCTGCTGTCTCCCTCCTGTACTCACTACTCCACCCCCGCTTGGGTGGCATCTTTGATCTTTCCCCCTCACCTTTGATCAGGCAGCAGTTATTTCTTGAATGGCTGTGTAGCAGCTGTGAGAAGCTCTGGGAAGTCTAGGACCCAGGCCTGACTACGGGAAGCCCTTGGGTCAGGAAGCGCAACCTGCAGGCTGTGTGTCCATGGCCAGGTGCTCACCCTCTCTGAGCACTGTACAGTAGCTCAGGGCTCTAAGACCCTCCCTGCAACCTCCAAACTGGACTCTGATAATATTGTTTGGTGTCACAGTGAATAAAAGATTTAAGCACAGTGTGTAGCGATGAGCTTGGTGAGTTTCATGGATTGAGCTGGTCAGGGCAGGCCTTGCAGGGGACACAGAACTTGGGTGGGGACGGACCAGACCTGGCTGAGAAAAAGCTGGACAGAGCAAAGAGTCCTCTTTGCAAGGACTTGCCTAGCCAGGCATCCACCCTGAGCCACGTTCAGACTCATTGTGTTACTAAGGCTCAATGCACATTGAAGCATCTATGGCCAGAAGAATAACCTTGGTTTCTTAATCTTTATTAGTACAGTTTTTAAAGATTCCACCTTGTCCAGATTTCTCTAGTTGACACCCCCATCCTTTCTTCTGGGGGTCATGCTTGTTCTGTCCTTGGCAGTCAGTCATATGTCCCTACCGAGACCTAACCCCGCAAGTTGGCTGCAGCTCAGCAGGGCCGTCTGGGTAGGAAGCATGGACTTCCCAGCGTGGGGGAGGAGGGCTTGGAAACCCAGTAGATCTCCTTACCTGCGCGTTGAGCTGCGCACCCTGTCGCACCTGAGGCGTGGCTCCTTCTTACCACTGCGCCAAGCGTGATACCCTGAAGTAAGCACACTTAGGCTCACTGCCTCCTCAGGCGTCTTCAACCTCTGAGAGCCAAGTTTGGTTTGGTTTCCAAAGGCCAGTGCGCCTGTTGGGGAGTGCAGTGTTCGCTCTGTGCCTGCAGGGGCGCTGTTTCCCATCGCGTGTGCCGAGCTGGGCACACACTCACAGCTGGTCCAACAGGTAAGCCTGACAAACATCACCTCAGACAAAACTACGCAGACGGCGTTCCTGTAGGGGCTGTTCAGAGAGGGCTAGAAGAGCAGTTTCCCAAACTCACTGGACTGCACGGCCCTGTCTCGCAGAGTGCTTAGCTTTACAGCTTTGAGAATATCTCCTAGTGGCCTCCTTTCTGCTTGGTGTTCAGAAAGCCAGGCCAGTTCTCACCAAATTTGTTTAAAATGTTGATTCTTTTTCCCAACATACGCAGCTGCTTACCCACAGGAAGCTGTGCGGTCCGTCGGGTGTTGCAAACCGGAACCCTTCCTGGGACCTCCAGGGTACCATGGGCCAGGATGCGGGGGTTGCTCAGCGCCTGCCCTCCCCCTCCCTCCTCCTCCCTCGTATCCATGGAGAAAAGGACAGGAAGGGGCTGGGAGCGGATGAGCCCCACAAGACATTTTATGGATGCTTTTTGTTTCAAACCCCCACCCCCAGATTTCGTGGTTCACCAGACCTTGCCCTACCAGTCGGTGTCCGTGGACACATTCAGCTCCAAGAACGACGTGTACGTGGCCATCGCACAGCCCAGCATGGAGAACTGCATGGTGCTGGAGTGGGACCACATCGAAATGAATTTCCGGAGCTACGACAACATCACAGGTGTGTTGTGCTGTCGTCAGACATGCGACCAGGTTTAGCATCCCTTCAGGAAAACCAGCATCTGCTAATGTATGGAGAGCTGGGTGCACTGAGATGGCGGAAGTGGGGACCATGCCCGGCCCACACTCCTGGTCGCTCCAGTATGTTCTGGGCATGGCCGGTTACTGGTGACAACAGCATGCAGGAAGCCATCCTGTTTATTGTTGGGAAGCCCTTTGATAACAGGGAGGGATAGGGCTCTGGTGGGAGGTGGGAAGCGTCTCCCAGAAACTGTGAGAGAGCCCCCTGAGAAGCCCTTGGTTCTTCACAGTTCCTGGGGCCTGTCTGCCTCAGCTTCTTAGCAAGGCCATGCTGTTGACTTTTGTTAAGCTGATTATTAACTCTTGCAGTAAGACAAGCCGAGCAAGGTGGTGCCCACCTGTAAAGCCAGCATTCTGGGAGGCTGAGGCAGGAAGATTCCAAGTTCCAGACCAGCCTGAGCAACTTAGTGAGACCTAGTCTCACCAAATTTGTTTAAAATGTTTTAAAGGCTTGGGATGTAGCACAGTGCATGGTCCCTGGGTCTAATTTCTAGTGCCACAAGAAAACAAAACCCAAAAGCTAACACACACACACACATACACCCCGTACACACGCTGTAGCTTATTCATGCCAGGTCTGGTTTCCTTTAGTAAGTACATATAAAACAAGAATAAACAGACCCCTAAATTCAGGCCTCTGGGACTTCATTTAGTTCATGCTTCTTTCGCTTCTGCTGTGGGACCCCAACATCTTAGTGATACAAGAACGGACTGCTTGTGTGCTTTTTAAATAAGTAGAGAAGACTAAAATCAAAATAACCTTTCAAGACATCTCAGTTATCAAAACGTAATCTACTATGGATGTTAACTTTGTAAACAGTGGCATGCAAGCCTGATTACCACCTGTGAGAGGCTTCCCCTTGGGCTCCTGACCGTCCGCAGTGTGGTGTCTGGGTAGAAGTCCTTGGGTCCCTCAGGCATGAGGTGGGGGGACCGGGAGCCCCATCTCACTTGGGAGGGAATAGCTGCTAACGAGCCTGGCCTCCCACCCGCACACCGGAGACTTGGAAGATGCCATGTCAGATGAGCGGCGCTGTTGCTGTGCCCATCTTGCCAGGAGTGGCTGCTTAGAGGTGCAGACTCCTCGTGCCAGGGGCTCTGGGGACCCTCTGGGGAAGCCGAGGCCCTGGGACAGTGGTGGCGAACCTATGGCACGTGCCACAACTGGCCGTTTGCTATCATTGAAAGCTCTGAAAGGCTTGCCATGGCCTGTCCCTTCTTCCTCCCCAAGGTGAGGGCAGGAGCAGCCCGCAGCTCTGCTCTAGGGGGAGGAGTCCCAGGGCTCATGTTGCTCCCCTCCCTCCCCTCCCCTGCCTTCCTCCCCCTCCTTCCTTTACTTCTTTTCTTTCTTCTTTTTTGTGGTACTGGAGATCAAACCCAGGGGTGCTCTAACGCTGAGCTACAGCCCCAGCCCCTTTTTAGTTTTTCTTCTGAGACAGGGTCTTGCTAAGCTGCCCAGACCTGCCTTGACTCTATGATCCTCCTGCCTCAGTGGCCGGATAGCAAGTGTGTGTGCACAGTGGGTAGCAAGTGTGGTGCTGGGTGCAGGTTTATCTCATTGGCAACTCACACCAGCCCCTGGAGCCGTGACTGGGGGCTGCTTGCCCACAGGTAGAAGACACAGCCCTGATGTGCAGAGCTGGGCGGCCCGCAGGCTCTACGGAGCATAGCAAGAGCCACTCCGCTGTGTGCTAGGAAGTGTGCGCGGTCTCCTGGGCCTGGCGTCCTTCCAGTGATGTGGGAGTGGGTGTGCCTCCTGTGACGTGGTGAGGACTCTACTGCTCAGCACAACCTAACAGGGGCCAAGCGCCCTGTTCCTTCAGGGACAGAGCCAACGATCTCTCACCATGCTGTCCTGTTCCTCCCCTTCCTAGGAAGAGAAGGAGACACTCTCCACCTGCCCCTGTGGTGAGCTGTAGCTGGTGGCCCCCAAGTTCATTCATCTGTCCATTTATTCATTCATTCACAAAGGTTTCTTGGGCACTTAAGTCTGAGTCAGGAGTGTTGGGGGTGCTGGGTACAAAGCAGTGAACAAGTCTGATAAAAAACTCTGCCCTCCAGGGGGCTGTTAGAGAAAGACAGAGACAGTTGTGATGTGTAAAAAGTACTAGTGGGCAACGTGCTAAGGAGGAAACGTGGGAGTGCTGAACGGGATGAACTTTGGAAAAGGCCAGACCTAGCCTCGTAGAAGTGTTAGTTCAATGCTTGGAGTTGGTCTCCATTCAGAGCAGAGGCACTCAAGTTCCATGCAGAAATCCAGAGGCTGGAGGTGCCGCGCCCCCATGAGAGGAGCGTGCAGGGTGCAGGATCAGGTGAGCAGAGTGACTCAGGGGCAGGTGCAGTCGAAAGTCACAGCAATCAGAGGCTGATCATGGGGACCTTGGGGTCCTGGGAGGTCTTGGCTGTCTGCCCTGCATGCTCGGCAAAGCTGCGGGAGGTTGTGCGCACGGTGCACACAGCTGGCTTGGATCAGCTACTGTGTTGAGAGCAGCCTTTGCAGGGCTTGGGGAGGAGTACAGAGATGGAACCCGCACAGCCTCTGCAGAGGTTATTGCAAGATCGGGATCCAGGCGAGCAACAGGGCCTGGAGGAGGTGGGGTCACAGAGCGGGTGGCGGGACGTGGTGAGTGCTCTTGGAGTGGGCGTGGCCAGAGCACGGAGTGGGCGTGGCCAGTGTGTGGCATAGGCGTGACCAGTGTTTGGAGTGGGCGTGGCTAGTGTGCTTGGGGTGGGCGTGGTCGGTGCCACTGGGGTGACTATGGCCAGGGCCGGAGCTATAGCTGGACCTTGCTGGTTTCTAGGGGTTTTTCAGCCCTTTTGTCTCCAGGAGTGAATCTTCTGAGCTGGGAGCACTCACTGAAGCCTTTTTGATGGCCAAGCGCACCTGAAATACAACAGCCTGATAGCCAAGCTTACAAGCTTGAACATCATCAGACTGATTTTTTAGCATCCTGGCTGCCCTCTTGCTGGCTGGGGACTCTGGCTTAGGTATTTAATTTGCATGGGCTCTTTCCATCTGTGAAATGGGAGTTTTATGAATTTCTATTTTATCTGTAAGATACACTTGGCGAACTGGCAAGGGTTGCACAAGGTAACGCGTGTATAACAGCACAGTGCCGGGCACATAGTGAATCCACAACCAAAGGTAGCTTTAGTGCCTGGGCATAGATGGGGGCAGCCCCCCGTGCTTCCCCCAAACACCTAATGTTTTGGAGTCAATCAAAACCTCTGTATGGCTTTCATAAGCACAGAGACACAGGGGCTGGCGGAGATCCACAGAGGGAGGCAGGGGGGTTGTGATAAGGTGCTGGTGGAAGAGGGAGTGCGGCTTTCTTGGTGTCTGCAGTTCAGCCTGGCATCAAAGAGAGCCTGCATCTGGGGTAAAGCAGGGCACAGCCTTGGAGCCACTTGCCCGGAAACAGAAGGAAGAGGATTGGGGGAGTCTGCCCTCCCTGGGCTGTGTGTTCCTCGTATGTCCCCTTGTTTGGCCATGGAGTGATCCCAGAATTGCAAGGCAGGGCAGCGTTTTCTCAGGGCTCCCAAGATGGGCTCCAAAGAATCAGAGGAGCCCCTGCCTCCCCTTTAGGGGCCCTGGTAACCATGGTGCAGAAGGGTGGCCCCAGCTGTCTGTGTTCACCAGGGAGAGAGAAACCCACGGTCGTGCTCATGTCAGAGCTGGCTCTTCCTTCTTGTTCTTTCTGCGTCTCTTCTCAGCTTACCTGCTTTTAGTTGATTTTGTTTGCCTTGTGCTTCCTGCGTGCTGTATATATTCACACACACACACACACACACATGCACACGCACATGCACACACGCACACACACACACACACACGCTCTGTGATCTTTGCCGCTACTGATGACTCCATAGGCTAAAAATGCTGACCTGGGCAGAGGGATTAGGAAGCGTCTTCAAGAAAGCGATTCTTTCTGTCTCATGCGGCCCCCAGCTCTGACAGCCGCCCCCTAGAGCCCTTCTGGGCAGCGGGGTCTCCTCAGCAGAGAGGCTGCTCGGGAGGAGGCAGGAGCGTGGACTTTCAGTTAGTACTGGCAGGGTGGAAATCCTGGCAGCTTTTCAAGAGCAGTTTGGCAGTTTATGTCCAAAAGCCTTAAAAATATGCACACTTGCCCCAGCAAATCTTACATTTAACAACAAAACCAGATGGTTTCAAAACACGTTATTTAACAACATGTGAAAGGAAACATGTTATTTAACAATAATGAAAAACTAGAAGTGACTGTCATGTCCAACCGTAGGGGATTAGTTAAATAAAATATGGTACATCCATGCAGTGGAATAGTGTGTAATGATAAAAAAAAAATCTAGTTGTAGAAGATTCCATAACTAGGGAAGAATGTTTACAACAGAGTAGTCAAGTGAAAGAAAAAAAGAGATTCTAAAAAGCATAGGTATAGGTTAAGCCCCATTTAAAACAAAAAGAAGAAGTGGTCTGGAGATGTAGCTTAGGGCCTCATCTCTGGGTTTAATCTGCAGTATTGCTAAAAACAAACACCCTCACCCCAAGAAACCCAAAAAAAGAAACAAAGAACTCCCACAAAGGCATATTTCATTTTGTGAATGAACATTAAACAAATACCAGAATATTAAGTGTTATTTTATGCTTGCATTATAGATGATTTTTATTTTCTTCTTTGTGCTTTTTGTTACTTTGGTGGTGAAGTGTAGACTGGAACCTGACTATCTGGATTTGAACTCCACAAATACCAGCTGTGTGACTTTGTCTAAGTTGCTAAACGTCTCAGTGCTCAGTTTCATCTTTTGTAAAATGTAAATGATGATAACTGTGGCTTTCTCTGACACTGGTCATAAAGATTATGTGAGTGAATGCATGTACACGTTCCTAAAGAGGCACTTGTTCCTCAATGCTCCCTTTATAAGTGTTAGCTATTATTATTTTCAAATTTTGCTTTGGTGAACGTTTAACACTTTTATACTCAGAAAAACAATGCATGGTTTGTTTTAAACAAAGGAAAGGGGTTCGGCTCTTGGAAGAAGTCCACAACAGAAAGAGAAGAGGAGATATCCCTCTGAAAGCTGTCCATTGTCTGCTCCCAGAGTTAATCCTCAGGATAGATCTTGGGTTATTATCCTTGTGATTCACAGACCAGACTCACTTGGGTTCAAATTAGAAAAATAAGTGGAAGAAATAACTTTTAATGGAAGGGTCTAGATGGACGTCAGTCATCTTTGAGATGTGGGTGGTTCTCTTGCCTGCTGGTTGGCTTGAATGGGACAGTGGGCTAGGGCCTGGTTCAGGTCCTGAACCAGGTGGGGTCCTGGTTTCAGGGTGGGGCAGGATGTCAGGGGAGACCCAGCGAAGTCACCAATGAATCCTGCCCCTTTCCCTGCAGACTTCTGTTTTGTCTTCCGAGCCAGGTGACTTGCAGCGTTGTCAGTCTGTAGGTGCATCCGCAGGGCCAGGCTCTTGCGGTGACCAGGACAGTTGCTTCCCTTTCTCTGAACGAGGCCACTGTTGTTAACCGCCTCCTGTGTGTCGCTGCTCTGCACCAAGACATCTGCCACAGACTCGTCATTTATTATTTAAGGTCGGCAGGCAGCAGCGTCTGTTTCACCGGACATTTGCGGGACTTAGGCGCAGAAAGACAGGTCACTTGGTGTGGGGTGGAGCTCACAAGCTGCCTGCTGGGTTTCAAATGCAAAGCTGCCTGATGTGGCATCGTGAGGTTGAAATCAGCAGAGGCCAGACCTCTTCCTGACCCCTGACGCTTCCTTCTGTCCTTCGCTGAGCCCTGATCCCTGCCCTCTTACCCTCCCTCCCTGCCTGGGAGGGGTCACCTGGGTAATTGCGTTACTGTGTCGTATGGAAGCTGGAAATGCTGCTTCTCTTTAAGCATATAAATTATATATATATATATATATATATATAGAGAGAGAGAGAGAGAGAGAGAGAGAGAGAGAGAGAGAGAGAAAGAGAGAGAGAGAGACAGAGACAAATAAAAATTGTGTATATTCCTCATCTAGGAGATGTTCTGAAACATATGTACATTGTGGGGGAGGTCAGTTGAGCTCTTTGACACGCATTTATCAACCAGCATGACTTCCCAATGCTTTCTGAGGTCATCAATTTCCTGAGTTGTGCTCCTGACTCTAAAGACCTGGGAGCTCCTGTCGATCTCATGCCAATGTTCTTTTTTAAGATGTACTTAAAAAAGATTTTTGAAAAAAAATTTAAATTACAGTAAAATACACATGACACAAATTCACCATCTTAACTGTTTTCAGTGAACTGTTTGGTCATGTTAGATGCAGCCATATTGCTGTGTAACCAGTCTACAGAACTCCTTCCACGCTCTACCTGTTCAGCAGCAGCTCATGTACCCCTCCCCCAGCCCCTGGCAACCGGCCTTTGACTTCCTGGCTCTGTGCCTCTAAGTGTTCCATGTGAGTGAAATCATACAGTATCTGTCCTTTTGTGGAAGCATGTTTCGTTTAGCACATTGCCTGCAGGTTCATCCATTTGGTAAATATGTTAGAATTTTGTTCCTTTTCAAGGCTAAATAATATTCCCTTGGGTGTATCAACCACATATCCATTTCTTTACCCATTTGCCCATCCATGGTCATGTGAGTTGCTTCCGCTTAGGAAGCTATTGTGCATAATGATGCTATGAATGTGAATATCTTAGTGTGTTATGGGACTGCTGTAACTGAGTACCACGGACTGGATGGCTTACAAATGACAGAAATTTATATCTCACAGTTCTGGAGGCTAACAGTCAAAGAGCAGCAGATTTGGTGTCTGGTGTGAGGCCCTTGTTCTCCCATGTGAGGGCAGAAGGAGCTCTCTGGGATCTCTTGTAAGGGCACTAATACCATTCGTGGGGGCTCTGCCCTCATGACCTAGTCTCCTCTCAAAACGCCACTTCCTAAGCATCACTACCTTGGAGATTAGGTTCAAGGTAAGAACTTTGGGGGGTCTGTAGCACTTGGTACTTAGGCACCTTTTTGAGTCCCTGCTTTCGGTTCCTTGGGGGTGGAGCTGCTGGGTCACGTGGCGGCTCTGTTTCATTTTTCAAGGAGCTGCCAGCTATTTCCGCTGCCACAGAAAGGTCTGGTTTCACTATGGAGGCGCCTCTCCCCGGCAGCCACACTAACCCCTCTCTTTCTCTTGGAGCGCAGGCCAGTCCATCGTGGGCTGCAAAGCCATCCTCATTGATGACCAGGTCTTTGTGGTGGTGGCCCAGCTCTTCGGCGGCTCTCACATTTACAAATACGATGAAAGCTGGACCAAGTTTGTCAAATTCCAAGACATCGAAGTGTCTCGCATCTCCAAGCCCAACGACATCGAGTTGTTCCAGATCGATGATGAAACGTTCTTCATCATCGCCGACAGCTCTAAAGCAGGGTTGTCAACGGTCTACAAGTGGAACAGCAAAGGCTTCTACTCCTACCAGTCCCTGCATGAGTGGTTCCGAGACACAGATGCCGAGTTTGTTGATATCGACGGGAAATCGCACCTCATCTTGTCCAGCCGCTCCCAGGTGCCCATCATCCTCCAGTGGAATAAGAGCTCTAAGAAGTTCGTCCCGCATGGCGACATCCCCAACATGGAGGACGTGCTGGCTGTGAAGAGCTTCCGGATGCAGAACACCCTGTACCTGTCGCTCACCCGCTTCATTGGGGACTCTCGGGTCATGAGGTGGAACAGTAAGCAGTTTGTAGAGGTCCAGGCGCTGCCATCCCGGGGCGCCATGACTCTGCAGCCCTTTTCTTTTAAAGATAATCACTACCTGGCCCTGGGGAGCGATTACACGTTCTCACAGATATACCAGTGGGATAAAGAGAAGCAGCTGTTCAAGAAGTTCAAGGAGATCTACGTGCAGGCCCCTCGCTCCTTCACAGCTGTGTCCACCGATAGGAGAGATTTCTTTTTTGCATCCAGTTTCAAAGGAAAAACAAAGATTTTTGAACACATCATTGTTGACTTAAGTTTGTAAACGTGCCATGGGTGAGATTTAAACAGACCATGTAGCGTTAGCTCTCATAAGAGAGGGCCAAGAAGAAATAAAGTAATAAAATAACATAAGCCAGGCTCAGAGCTCTGAAATCCAACTTTAAAATGCACTGGGGAAATAGTTAGATGTTTTCAAACTTTTAGGACTCACATTTTAATCAGGGGTAGCATTTATCGGCTAACTGCATGACATGCCCATTCTATCATTTTAAAAGGCACCTGGTGGCCTGTGATTTCCAAGAGAAGAGTGCAGCATTTACTCTTACCATCTAGAAAGTGATGTGCTTTTTCTTCCTTTTTAATGAGGAAGGAGAAACATGGATAAGATGGGGTAGCCCTTTTAATGAAATAATAATAATAAATAAATAAACCAAACCAAACCAAACCTATGGACCCTTCTCATTCCATTTTAGCAACCTTCTGGGTAAGAACTGGTCAAGCCAAAGTCAGCTGAAAATATTTGCTGATTAGTAGTTTCAAAATCTCAGAGCACTCAGCAGTGCTATTCTGAGCCATTCTGATTTCCTGAAAGTAACTCCCAGCCTTCCAGAACATTCTGATTTCCTGAGCCATTCTGATTTCCTGAAAGTAACTCCCAACCTTCCAGAACATTCTGCAATACCAGAATCTTCCCCTTTGGTTGGCTCATGTGGATAAATGCTCATCATGGGTGTGTTAACAGCTTAATCTTTGACACTGCTTTCTCTTCCACAAAGAAAATAAGTCTGGCAACACACGTCTAGGCCAGCATGGGCCCTGGGCCCGGCAGTGAGACAAAAGAATGCTTCCCTCTGCGTGCTTCAAAGCTGGGCCTTGCGGTGGCCTGAGCAATAGCGCCTGTTTGATGCACTCTGTGACTCATCTGCCTCCCTGCACCCATCCTTTGAGTTTGTGGGTAGCCAGCAGACAGGCCAAAGACTGAACGGTGCTTTTGATTCTGTCCTTCAGAGGGGTGGAACAGGTATTTCCATCTGATGTGCATTTGGTAGGATTTTTTCAAGTGAGATTCCACAGAGTCAAAGGGAACTTCACTTACAAAAATCACAATGTGCTTTAAAACCCAGAGGTGGCCCTTTGATTTATGCATGTCTTTGCCCTCTGGACAACTTAATATTTCAAGTAATTGAATAGCACTAACGCTAAGCCTGCCCACCTGCCTACCTCCCACTCCTGGAATAGTCCTGCTTCATTGAGTTGTTGGTGTTGCTGCAGTAGCACTGAAGGTGCTGTGGGCACCTAATCCCAAACCCGAATTCCCACAGTAGGGGCCCAGCTTTCTCTCCCGGTATCCCAGCAGCAGGTATTCCCTCCTCAACCGCCCTGCCCCATGACCGTGTGTTGGTGGCAGGACACCGTACAGGCTAGGGCTTTCAGGCTGACTGCTGGAGCCACATGCGCTGAATCCCACCAACCATGTCTGTCCTCAGCGGGCCAGGTGGGCTCTTTCAAAATGGGGTTCTGGGGTTAGCAGTAAGGAAGCCCACTGGCTGTGGTTTTGTACAAAGCTCCTTGTGGATGTTCTGCCTGAGTAGCTGGTTCTTTTCAGGGGACGTGAAGCACATGGCTTCTTAAAGAATAACCCGGCAAATTTCTTCTTGCCATGAAAGGGGCACCATCCCACTGTACTGTAGTATTTGTTTTGGTGATTATTGGCCACATCGTAAGTAGGTAGCTGTTTTGCCATGAGTGTGAATGTGTCTGTTGTTTCCTGACTTTAAGCAATGCAGAACAAGCAATAAATGGCACTCTGAGAACGACGTGTTGGTGTCCAGTCAGCACTCTGGGGTACATTCTGGCACCTCGGGCTGAGGCTTCCAGCCCAAGAGGCTGGGCGATTACTGAGCTCACTCACCCACACTCAGTTGTGTGGTTGCTTACAGCTTTCCTACAAAATACCAAGCAAAACAGAGTTTGTTTTCATTTTTCTAACGCACAAACCACTCTTTCTTTGCATCCTTTTGCTTTCTTGGTTTATTTGAGTTGGTGACAAATGCCCACATCTTCACACTGGAGGCTGAAAGTGGGACATCTCTGCCATCCCTCCAGCTATAGAGGCAGGAACTCTATTCTTCCTGGTGCGTGGGACCCTCAGACAGGCTGGATGGCCAGACATCTGGCAAATAGTAAAGGGGACCCTGAAGCAATCCTAGCCTTTGCAGCAGGTTGAAATAACATTCCTGATTCTAGCTGCCTGTAGAATAGGCAATGGGGTGCTTTCACACTTCTACCTCCGTGAAGCAATGCACCAACTTCTCAGTGATACTTAAAGGGTGAAGTTAGGGACGGGCCATCTGCACTCACCATGCTGTAACCGTTGCTTAGAATCTGGAGAACCAGGAAGAATAGGGATCTAGGCTTTAGTGGGGAATTTATAGAGTCCAGAAGTGGCATTTAGGGATGAAAGAAAGATCTCAAGTCAGAAGTGGGGTTAGCACAGGAGGCGGGGGTGATACACTCAACAGCAATCAGATTTTCTTCCTCTTTTTAAAGTTTATGCAAGACTGGAGCCTGGAGTTTGTAGAGTCTGGGAAGAGATGTTTGTTCCGTCCAACTTAGCGAAGGAGCGTAGATGTTCTTGGCACAAAGAGGCGGGAGCTTTGCTTCGTTAATCTTACTGCTTGATCCTAAGGCTCCCTGAAGTTTTAAGCAGTTTCTGCAAGAAGATCTCCCGAAGTGATAATGTAACACATAAGCCCCAACTGAACAATGATGACAAAAACAAAAGCAGGGAAGCATGTGGGACAGCCCCTGTGGAGCTCTGAGGCGGGAGGGCTGCCTCTCTCCTCTGTCACCCACTGCTGGGCGCCTGCTCAGCCTGCCCTTTAGGGTTACCTGTGATGAGGGCCCTGGACTCAGCCCTCCACACAGCCACGAGCTTGAAGGCCACTGCCCAAAAGCAAGCACTTGTCCCCGCCTCCACAGGGCCAGGAGCGCATCCTCTAAGAACTCTAAAAACAGCTCGGAGGGAAGAGCGCCATGTGCCGGGCAGGGATAAGATCGCCCTGCATTTCTGCAAAGCTGAATATTTTTCCACATTCCTTTGCACTCATCTCATTTGTCATAAGTCGTTCTTCAGTTTATTGGAGGGACAGAGTTGTTCTAATTTCAAGGAAGAGGGAAGCCGGGGACTCTATGGCTATCTAGTCATGTGCGGCAGAGTTAGAACTTCCCCTCTGAAGAGCAGGCGCTGTGTTTCCTTTCTGTGACTCTGCTGTCCGCTCCTAGGGGAAGATTTTTCATTGTCTTTGTACTTCTGAGCTTAGCAGCACCTTGAGATAAAATAAAAAATGCAATTAAACATGCATAGCCAGAAGGAGAACCCATCGAATAGACACCATTCAGTCAATTGGTCCATTTAATGATGTACAAACCCTCTGGAACTTCTGTGACACATGAGGACCCATTCACAAAACTCTTCCAAGAAGTTCAGGTACTTTTCTATTGTTTAAAGAGGATTTCTCACTGACGCTGTGCATCCTCCTCCCACCTAGCTATGGGAAATGTGGGTGGGTGCTAAGGTTTGCATATATGTGCTTCTAGTCAGTGTCCACCAGATACACAAGAAGAATTTGATGGGAGAGAAATTAAAACCCAAACGCACAAGTGATGAATTGATCCAGGCCTACATCAGCCTAGAGGGAGCACGTGGAGCAAGACAATGATGCATTTTTCTTCTCCACGGAGTGAGAAGCTGGGTATTTTTAGCAAGGAAATCAGTGCAGGATGCCGGAGGTTTGGCTGCCAGGAACAGGCATGATGGAAAGCTCTCTGGCCCTGGGTATAATGAAAGAGAGCAGGTCTGAAGGTGTGCATATCCTTTCGCATGCCACTTACAGACAATGTCCTTAGCAGGCTGTTTGAGTCCTTCGCAGAGATCCCAGCCCCTCAAGTGCAGCTTTGGGAGAAAGTCTCTCAGTTAGACAGTGGCCACGGATTCCTTTCCACGGTGCATGGGAACGGAGCACAAGCTGTATGAGAAAGGTGGACCGGAATCCAGGCACCATGGAAAGTGAAAGGGCAGAAACGCAGGCGGATGGCCCAGATGGAAGCGGTTTTGGGAAAGCAGAAATTAACCTGGAAGCAAAGAAAAAGTGATCACGATTTTCTTTGCTACAGTCAGGCAAACAGAGTGTAGGATGACCAAGCACATTAAAAACATCTGAGTGATTATTGCGAATAACCCATTGTGATGCCTATTCAAATAAGAACTCTGCTTCGAGGCTGCTGAGCTCTGAATGGAGGCCCTCTTCTTACCGTATTCCATTGCTTGTATCAGAAGCCACCTTTTTCTAGTAGAAAACTATGCATTCCTTAGCCATCCCTTGACTATCAAGAATGTATAAGAACTGTGATAAAATAGGCCAGTATGCCATTTGGTACTGTTTTTATGTATTATAATTGCATAACTTAGGTAAAATAAAAATAGTTTGTATGTGTATTAAAATAAATTTTGCAGTATGCAGACAACTATGGATGCATTTGAAGGCTGTATACATATTTTTAGCTCTTTTTGGTGGAGTTAACATGATATGCCTCTCAATTCCGTATGTTCTGTAAGCTTGTGAATAAAAGGTAATTCCTGTCTAATGCAGCATGGATCTCTGGTTTACTTGACTATGGGTATGACCATGTGGGTCATAGAGGTGGAGAGACACCCGTTATGGGTTATGGGGGTGGCAATATCTTTGTGGCTCACTCTTGTTCAAATGGGAAATGGGTACCATAGGGGCCTTTGGCTTTTTCACTTAGAACCTAGAAAGTCATAGAAGAACTGCACATATTTCTCCCCCTGATCTGTGGTTCCTAGTTCTGATGGGTTGACAAAGAACTCTGAGGATCTTTGGGTGTCTTCCAATTCTGCGAGCATGGTGCTAGGAGGAGAGATTACTAGACTTCCCTGATGGGGGTTGAACCTTGACCTCCTCTATGGCGGGACTTCTGATCCACGTCTGGGATCTAACCTGGCACTTAGTAGGTATGCAGGAAAGGTTTGCTGCACATATTTTAATCTGAGACCCATTGGGTGTAGCTGGAAGAAGGAAGGCTCAAGACCCTAAAGCACGTATGATGGTGTACCTGCTGTGCAGCAGGGGCTCTGGCGTGCCGTGGGGAGTTTTAGAAAGTGTAAGAGCAGAGTCCTGGCCCTCATGTGACTTATGATCCAGTTACGAAAGTTGTAATTCCATGAAGCTGTAGGCAACAATACAAGGTCCAGAAGCAATTCTGCATTGTAAAGCACTGTGTGACTTTTTGAGCACTAATTGGGCTGATAACCAAGTATTTAGTGCCTTGTCTGGCCTGGCATGGAATTAGCTTTCTGCGGTAATGTCATAAAGCCCTGCTCACAGTTCTGAGGCCTGAAGTCAGGCACAGACAGGTGGGTTTCCCCCTCGGGGGCTCACTTGGCTGCCACCAAGTGGCACGAGAAGTGTCAGACTGAGCTCATCACCAGCTGGAGGCTCGGTGAGGGGAAGAGCCGCTTCTCAGCTCGTTCAAGATGTTGGTAGAATGCTTGTCCTTGTGATTATAATATCGAGGCCCTTGTTTTCTTTTTGTACAGGCTGGGGGCCTCTTTCAGCTCCCAGAGGCCACCCTAGTTCCTCACTGTGTGGCCCTCCCCGTAGGTCTTCTGACTACTTCACTGCTGGCTTCTTCAGGCCACCTAGAAGTGATGTCCCACCACCTTTTCCCTGTTCTATTAGCTTGAAGCAGGTCACAGATTCCACCCTGGCTTAGGGGAGGGAGATTATCCAAGGACATGATTCATGGAAGTTGGGAAGTCACTTCAGGTGTGTCTACTACAGGCACCAGGCCAAGAGATTGGATGCCCTGCTGCTCAGATAGCTCCTAACCATCAATAGCCATTTACCTGGACACGGGACTGGGAGCTGTGAAATAGATCACCCCATAGGTGGAAGGTCACTGTAGGCCAGGGAAAGTACCCATTTGTCCAGTCTAGAGAGGAGGACCTGATTCCTTTTGGTCTTAGTCACTTTTCTGGTCATGGGGACAGTATACCTGACACTCGAAATTAAATGGAGGAGCTTATTTTGGTTTACATTTCAGTCCATAATCAGCAGGCTCCAGGGCAGGACAGTGTGGCACAGGGGTATGGCAGAGGAGCAGCTGCTCACCTCACAGCAGACAGGAAGCAGCGAGCATCAAGGGAGGAGCTGGGAAGGAAACTGTAACCTTCTGGGTCACACTCCCAGTGACCTGGCTCTTCCGACCAGGCCCCACCTCCTCAGAGCAGTCAGCAAGTACCCTCATAATCCTATCACCTTCCAAATGTCCTGCTTATGATCACAAAAGGGTTTCAGGGGACACCTAGACATAAACTATAACACCTTTTATCCTTGTTTTACCATTAAATCATTGCTTACGTGCAGAAAAGAACTAGCAGTTCAAAAACTGCAGCCAGAAGCACTTTAATAAGGCTGAGACCAAACCTAGTCTCTCTGGGCACTTTGTCTTGGACCTGAAGGGCTCTGTGTAGGCTGCCCAGCTGCGATAAGGCAGGGTGCTTCCTTTATTCCTGAGAGTGCTAATGGAAATCTACCCGTCTGAGAAGAATTGGAGGCAGAGTCATGAGTCACCTTCATTGATCACCTGTCCTTGCAACTGGCTTCTTACCTGCCTCCCAGACAGGACGGCCTTTTACTAACCAGGATCTAATTGGCACAAATGACTTCTTCCAACAAATTGGTAGCAGAGGTGAGAGGAGAGGCCTTGGACAAGCCCCACCTCCTGGCCTCTGCTCCAAGAGCCTCTTGTTAAATGTGAACTTTTGTCCCTGCCCCCTGCCAGACACCCAGCAGAGGCAGCGTGGCAAGAGGACTGACAGGGATTGAGATGTTGCCCCAGATTCCCTTGTGCTGGCTGCATCTATGGCAGCTCAAGAGCAAGCACATCCTTACACACACCTCTGGCTTCTATCCCAGACTTGTAGAAAACAGGAGCAAAGTACAGCGAAGCTTCCTCCACGTTCCAAGAGACGAGTGTTAGGGCAGGGAGAAGCAGGTCTAGCTCACTGTACCCCACCTCATGCCACTCGTCATCCCCGAAACACTGCAGAGCTCGGAGCAGTATCCCCTCTTGCAGGACTGAGAGATTCCAGCTTGTGCTGCCAGCATAGTCATTTGCGCCATCTCCTCATTTGCTCAGAAGGGTTATGCAGGCCAAAAGGCCTGGTTAAGCAGAGCTGGGGCTTCTCTGTCTGTGCTGCCCCTGGCCTGGATTTACCTCCCTGCTTGGAGTCACCCCCAGCCTCCAGGTCTGCTTCTTCTCACTCATCTATGAGTTCTTGACACACTATAATCCCCGAAATATTTTTATTTCAGAGGTACACCTTTTTCTTGTCCTTTTGGATTACAGCATCTTGTTCCATAAATCCTGTGAAAACCCAAATCAACTTTTTCATTTGATTCTTCTTAGCTGATTCTGAGTTGGAATTACGTGAACAACACTGTTTGACTACCAAGATGAGTTTTCAGGAAGATAGAGACACATGTAATAAGCTTGGAAAGCAGTGCTTCTTGCCATTTTACACAGGGTAGAAATTCTTAGGGCAAGTGCATGGAACCTGAGTAGGTAATATGACTCACATAACCCAACTCACCACCGTGTAGCACTTAATGAAACAATCCCCCAAACCAAATGGTAAATGCAAGCAATTCTGGTCTTTTCTGTGCCCCTGAGAGAAGAGGAAAGCGTCTTCCTAACATGCACTAACATGCTGCTTCTGAAGTCCAGTCTCCCCGGCCTCTAGCTCCCCAGCTGCCGGACGGTGACTGTGGACCTCAGCTCACTTCTCCCTGAGGCTCCACAGTCACCATCCATCCAAGGCTGACCCCTTCGCATTTTTTCACATCCATTGCCCTGAGCAGGTAATACAGGGGATGTGCAGACATCATGCATTTTAATACCATTATTGCCAGGACAGGAAATTTTAAATTTTGTCTTTCTCTGAAGCTTCTCTCCACATCATGTTGTCTGTGAGGATTTTAAAAGTGGTTCAGAGATACTTCAGTGCCCCTCCTTGAAAGAAGTGGAGCCTGATATCTTGTGCCTCGAGGGTGAGCTGCATTCAGCAACTTGCTTCTAGGAAGTAGAATGTGGCAGAAGTATTGGGGTGTGGGTTCCAAGTATCAGTCTTTTTTTTCTTCCTGGTACCAGGAACCAAACTCACAACCTCGTGCTAGCCAGGCAGGCACTGTGCCGCTGAGTTAAATCCCCAACCCCTCCAAGTATAGGTCTAGTGGTATTTAGGCATCCTTCTTTCTCAGTCTTTGATACTCAGTATGAGAAATGCCAGCCATCCTGGCTGTTGAGAGGGCCACAGGGGAGGAAATAAGGCCTCTCGCCAACAACTAGCACCCCACGTGGAAGCCATCTTGGGTGTGGACGTGGTGCCATCTTGGGTGTGGACGTGGTGCCATCTTGGGTGTGGACGTGTCAACCCTTGTCAAGCTTTCACTTGACCACAAATCTGGCCAGTGGCGTCACTGTAACCTCATGAGTGATTCTGTGCTATTGAGCCACTCCTAGATTCCTGGTCCACAGAAACTTTGTGAGATAATAAGCACTTACGTTCTCAAGCTGCTGAGCTTTAGAGGAATGTTATGTAGTAATGGATAGCTAATACACCACCATTTTTATGGGCTTGTACGAATGACATTGCCATCAGATGAATCCACTAGTTTGAGGAGGTTTAGAAATGAACACATATACATGCCACACCATGCCACTCCCTGTCACCATCACACACAAGGCATGCATACACACATTTAAGGGAGAGATGCCACTTCCAGGAATAATTTAAACCCAGGTTGCTACGTGCCTCATGAGTAAAAATTCCATATTGAAATCAAAATGAAAAAATGTTCAGTTTAGCTAGAAAATCAAGAGACATTTTTAAATTTTAAAAAGAAAAAAATAAAAATAACAATAAAACAGTTTCAAAATAGGTTAGTAGGAGAGTTACAATAACTAATACATTGCATATTGTTGTCTTTGTAGTAGTTATTCAGAGTACAAGATATAGGCATGATACCTTGTCCAAACAATCTTAGTGCAAACTTTTCTTTTAAACGAACTAAGAGAAGCTAGGTGTACAACTATCTTAACTATCTTGTGTATCAATGTATTTTTTCTTTTTTCCTTTCTTCTTTTACCATTTCCCCCATTGGAGTTTGCCTTTTATGTTTTTAACAGTTTCTTCCCAATTCACAATATCTATTGTGCATTTCGGATCTTATTTTCTTGTTCAGGTTCTCACACTAGTAAGACAATACAGTGTTTACACATATGGGTCTCTTTTATTTCACTTATGAAAATGGTCTCAAGTTGCATCCATTTACCTATAAAAGTCTCCAGTTTATCCTTCTTGATGGCTGAGTAGTACTCCATTATATTGAAAAAAAAATGTCTTTTTTATCCATTCCTTGGTTGATGGGCATTTGGTTTGTTTCCAAGATTTAGCTGTTACAAATTGTGCTGCTATAAACATGGGTGCACATATATTGCTGTGGTATGATGTTCTTCTGGGAAGATATCCACAAGGGGAATAGCTGGGTCGAATGGGACCTCTAA